TGTTGACCTGATAGGTCAAGTCGCTAATTAACCAATCGAAACGCTGGATGGTGCCAACGTGATTAAATTACCATAGCTCATTTAAATATGTTAATGTAGTTCAGCGACCTCATGGTAAACGAAACACTAAAGAGATTTACCGTTGTTGTAGTGCGATCGTTTGGCTTTGATTTTGATGGGAAAACGGCATGATTTTTTTTTTAAATCAAGAAATTAGTTGTTTTCGACAGATAAGCTGAGCATTGAAGAAGAATTTAACACTTTTGAAGATAATAACAGCTCATTGTCGAAACGCAGTTTACCCAGTCACGTTACCCACAATAAACCTGTATTCTGGAATAAGCGTCAATGACTAATTAGACTCTAATTTAAGCGTCAGGAATCATTGAAATGTTCGAAAAATTATGCCTTAATTTAAAATTAAATGGTATATCTTTTTCTGAAATATGTGGTGGCTGTTTGGTTTGTGAAAGTTTGGGGTGCGGCTTATATTGCAGACTTTTCCCTGGGATCAAAACTTGTCAATTTCAACATGAAACAATGTCTCAAGTTAGGGGTGCGGCTTCTATTAAAGCTGCGGCCTCAAAAAGGAATTTTAAGGTACTACATATTGGATTGGGTAGATGAGACTGACTCTTGGCAAGTTATTGACCAAATAATTCGACAGGTAGATGAGACTCCTGGCAAACATGGTTTTATGTTTTATGACAGAGTTGCCTTTGTGTTTGCGAAATTATCATGTGCAACAGGTGAGAACTGTAATGCAGTCGATGTAGAACACATGTATTGAGGTATGTTACTAATCATCTAACTGAACATTCGCTACATAATTATCGTGTATACTGAGTCTGCTAATGATGTTCGTTGGGTATAACCAAGTCTGTCTACAGTATTTTTAGTGAAGAGTCATGTTCGAATAATTAACAATACAGTTGCGATGGATTGTTACGAAATGCAACAAACATACTATGCAAGTCTTTGCTTCAATTACTGCTTGTGGGATTACCATATTAGGATTACTTGCTGTTCTGTTGCGATTATTGTGTGCTTGTGTGAATTAACCGCTGCATATCGCCATTGTACTATGATATGTCGTTTGTCTGGTGTATATTCGCATGCTTGATGGTTGTATTGTTAGTTTGACTTCAGCCTTCATGACAATGCACTGACATGAAGTGTGATGTCAACCAAGACATATGGGGTTGATGCACGTATGTATGCAACTATGCCCATTGTACCAGATTCCACACAACTGTTCAGCCAATGTCAACTTTTTATAATGTTAAACAAAAATCAGTATTCAATGGGAAATTACATTTACTATTCATAAAAAAAACGAAAAATGTTGAACCTAAATTTCTTGCTTTAAGACTAATGGCAACTTAAATTTGGATTATGTTTATGTAATCTTACCCTTTCATTTGCCAATTCCATTAACTGTTTCTTTGCTTTATCCACATCATCCTTGGGTCCTCTCAATGTGACCTTGTCACTCCCTGATCCTTCATTAGGGAAGTGAATCATCACACCACCACAGTCTTCCATGATGGAGCGTACCAAGCGACCTTTGGCACCAATCAGGGACTGGTGATATTTAGATGCTATACTGATCTCAAGCTGGGTAACATTGGCCTGCATCAAAACATAGTAACATTTGGTGAATATTAATAGGTGATTTTCAGTTCAACCGCGAGATCTCGCGGGATGCATGAAAGACGCAGGTTGAACTTCTGCTGCAAAAATCAATTTGATTTTAAACTCTAATTTTGATATTTCGTAGCTCACATCGACCGGCCGATCTTCGACAGCGGAATATTGCTTTTGAATACCCTCACTTAATCAAACTTGTCTATCAAATGTGTACAGCACATTATTAAGCATGGAAATGCCTCCCAAAATATTTTTGCGTATTTTTTCAAATCCCACGCGATGTTTGACGCCACTACGACGCTATGATCTTTGTTTGTCCTGTTTTTACACTCCATTTCACGCATAACGCATGATTCTCGCAGTGAGCGGAAAATGGTCTATTGACAACATGCTTAAACATACTTATAACTGATACAGAATATAACTAAAACCAGAAAGCTATAAATCTAGATGACACTAGACATGCATGTTCAAGTAACAGTGCACTACAAACAGTGACCTCATCTGCATTGGCTTGGAAGGTTGAATATCAATCCATAGCCAGGTTTACAATCGTCAATTATTAACCTGAACCAATCAAAAACCAACCTTCTTGGTGACTGCAGCTAACAACTACCACAGTTAATCTGAAGCACACATAAACCAAACATAGCATAGCATAACTATTGCAACATGCCCTATTCAGAATATAGATTAAGTAAATTGATGGATTCACTATTTTTGGCACAACAAAAGTAAGTTTTAAAGTCCTGAATCAATGCATTAATATATGTAATAAACATTGTGCATCAAAAATACTTGCACAATTTTCACCAAAAAGTACATTGAAGTACGGTAGTTATAATTACCCAAAATTAATTAATCCTACATGTACTGTATTAATCTCAATGTCACTTATAGAATAAAATAAAGTTACCACTTAATAGTGCCAGAAAATACAGTCTGAGTGAATGTCCAAATTTAACCATAGAAGTATTGTTTTCTTTACAAACAAGTGAATTTACATCCTAGAGTTAATTTTGTTGATATATACTACTTACCAATACCAACAAGTAGGAGACAACTTTAAGTGAAATGTAACTAACTTATAGATAGAACATAGCACAAGGCTAAGATCACAAACAGAATTTGAAAAAAATTGAATAAAACTTGGGAAAAGTTTTACAACAAAGTCAATAATAGACATTTCCTTTGTATACTTTCATTTACAATAATACGAGTAAAGCAAAAATTGCACTTATTTTATATTGAATGGTTAAAATA